ATTGCGGTTGTGCTGGTCTGGAAACTGCTTGGTCCTTCATGCTTTTTGGGAATTGTGGCAGTTTTGATCGCGCAAGTCCTGAACGCATTTGTCACTCGTGTCCTGCTGCAAAAAGAACGGATTCGCCGGCTTGCAACAGATGGTCGACTACAGGTCTCCTCCCAGTTTGTGGAGGCGCTGCGCCATCTTCGGTGGTATGGATGGCAGAATCACTGGTTGCGCCAGGTTATGGACGCCAGACAATCTGAACTGAACCTTCGTATTGTCACCATGCTATGGGGTATCGTTATCCGGTTCATCAACACCTTCGCCAGTGGCCTCTTCCCTGTAATAGCGCTATACGCATATACTCTTTTGGCGGGAAACCCATTACGCATCGACGTTATCTTCCCTGCTCTACAACTCTTCACTATGCTCGAGACTCGTCTGAGGGACATCCCGAGTCTCATAACGGTGCTGATCAATGCGTCCATCGCTATGGAGAGAATTGAGGACTTCATGGCTGAGCCAGATAAGGAGCAGAAGGAGGTCATCGAGACCGAGCCAGCATCGATTCAGCTGGACCATTGCTCTTTTGCCTGGCCTGGTAGACAGTTGCCAGTCCTTCGCGAGGTCGACCTGAGTGTACCAACAGGGCTAACTGTTGTATATGGCAAAGTCGGAGCTGGTAAAACGGCTCTACTCCAAGCCTTGCTTGGCGAACTGGACAGACTCGCTGGTGTTTCATATGTACCAAATGAAATGATTGGATACTGTGCCCAGACCCCCTGGCTGCAGAGCATGAGTATACGAGACAATATTCTGTTCTCTTCACCATATAATGCGCAACGTTACAGACGGGTGCTGGATGCGTGTGCCTTATTACCTGATCTGTCTGACTTCAAGCATGGAGATTTGACCTTTGTGGGTGAAAACGGTGTCGGTCTCTCTGGTGGACAGAAGGCACGGGTGGCTCTTGCACGGGCGATGTACAGCACTGCCAGGATACTGTTCCTTGATGACCCCCTGTCAGCTCTGGACCACAACACAGCCGAATCTGTCGCTCGCAAATGCTTCTCAGGTCCCTTGATGCAGAATCGTACAATTGTGCTGGTCACTCATAGAATCCACCTGGTTCGACAAATGGCAGATCAGATTGTCCTCATACAGAAGGGCCGCGCAGTTGTCGAAGATAAGCATGAGCTCTCGTCGCATGAGAGTGGTCAATCGGAATCCAGCTCGTCCGATAGTTCATCTAGTACTGAATCTGAGAGCGAAACGGCACCCACCGACGAGACTGCTGCAGTGCCGACAAAGTTCATAGAAGAAGAGCATCGAGCAGAATGGGGTGTCAAAGCTAGAGTGTATTGGAAGTACATCAGAGCCAGCAAGTACAGATGGTGGATAACCCTGATTCTCGTGCTTGCTGTGTACCGGTTCACATCCGTGGGACAATCCTGGTTTTTGAAGGAGTGGGGAGAAGCCTACAATGGAACACTTCTATTGTTCGGATACTCCGGTACGAACAAGAAGTCGTTCTCGGGGGACTGGATAACACCGTCGGCCATGGTGAAAATGCTCAACTGGAGACCTTCCAACCCTATTGACGAATTCCCGGCACCAGTTGAAGATGTCCGTCCGTGGCTGCTGGCCTTCTTCATCATCACCACTTTCCAATCAGTCGTCCTCCTGGTTGCGCAACTTGTGATGCTTGTGATGGTCTATAGTGCAGGAAAGACGCTTTTCCAGGAAGTCATGGTGCGAGTAAGCCATGCTACCTTTCGGTTTTTCGATGTGACTCCCATTGGCCGATTGATGAATCGCTTGACCTCGGACATCGGCGTTGTTGATGGAAATATCAGCGAACAGTTCCAAATGATTGCCTTCCAGGCTATTACTTGGATCTCATCTATTGTTGTGATCGCCTCAGTGACACCGATCTTTCTCGGATTCTCACTTGTACTAACGGCAGCATTTGTCATGGTTTTTCTGCGTTTTCTACCAACGTCGCAGAGCCTTCGGCGATTAGAGATGGTGTCACTAAGCCCATTGATATCTAATTTCGGTGAACTGCTTCACGGCCTGACCACCGTTCGCGCATTCCATGCCGAAGGACGCTTTCAAGATCGAGTCATCGCAGTAGTGGATAAATTCCAAGGAATGGACCACTTCTACTGGTCTCTCCAGAGCTGGCTCATGTATCGGTTCGAGAGCCTCTCCGCTTTCTCGACATTCTGCCTTACTGTCCTGGCCTTATACACGAGCGTCTCGCCGGGTCTAGCAGCGTTCGTGCTCGTGGCAGCCAATAACTTCGTCGCGTCTACCCATGCCCTGTGCAAGCAATATGGCCAACTGCAAATGGATTTTGTCTCTGTTGAGAGGGTAGACGAGCTGCTTCACGTCGAGCAAGAATCACCAGGAACGATAGACCCCCCTGCATCATGGCCCAAGTTCGGCCGTGACATCGTTTTCGAGGACGTGACCATTCGCTATGCGCCTCACCTGGACCCGTCACTCAGAAATGTTTCTCTTCGCATCCCAGGGGGCTCCACGACAGCTATAATCGGCCGAACCGGTAGCGGCAAGTCCACACTGGCCGTGTCCCTACTAAGTGTCATCCGTCCTGACTCGGGACGCATCCTTATCGACGATCTGGACATCACACAAGTCAGTAAACAAGCTCTACGCACCCGAGTCACGTTTGTTGCGCAGGACCCAGTTCTCTTCCCCGGAAGCATCCGCTTGAACCTCGACCCAGTAGAGGAGTACTCTGACGCAGAGTGTGCAGACGTCCTGAAACGAATCTGCAGTCGACACGGCTGGAGTCTTGAGACGCACGTTGAAGCTGGCGGACGGAACCTCAGCCAGGGAGAACGCCAGCTAATCGGTCTCGCGAGAGCTGTGTTGCGCCGAAGCTCTATTGTCATCCTGGACGAAGCGACTGCCTCAATTGATCATGAGAGTTCGCTCGAGATCCAGCAAGTGCTACGCGAGGAGATGAGGGAGTCGACCGTAATCACCATCGCGCATCGGCTGGAGGCCATCAAAGACGCAGACTACTATATCATGTTGGACCAGGGAGGAGTGTCCAAGCAGGGATTCGTGAAGGACATGTAAGCGTCCGATAGATAGATACGTAGAGAGAAGAAGAAGAAGAAGAAGAAGAAGCTTTTCCATTTCCATTGCCAGCGAATACATCACAGTAGAAGCCAAGGCAGAAGAAAACTTTACCCTCCATAAACGCCCGCTATTCATCTTGAACCGAGACTCCCACAAGCTCCTACGCTGAACGCAGGCATAAACCAGGAGATCAACTCCGCAGTAAAAGAAAAAAAAAGAAAAACAACCCCCATCAACCTAACAGCAATGACCGATATCCATCGAGTCGAGTCATGAATACACACTCCCCCATCACACGAAAATGTACGCAAAAACCACCCACATAACCCAGATGACAGCTAAATCCTGGAAAACAATACTATCATCCAGCGCACGCATTTCCGACCCACTCTCCGAAGTATGACTAGCGTCACTTGTCTTGACCGGGGTAGTTTCTGTCTCAGGATCACCGTCCCCCACACCCGTAGATGATGTCGGAGTGCCCGTTTCAGTAGTAATGGTTGTGACGGTCTCCGGCGCTGCGACTTCTGTAAGCCCACTGGCGTAGATAGTCGAGGTTGAAGTTGACAGAGGCCCATCATGATCACCACCAGTAGTAGCAGTGGTAAGGCTATCCATAGTGGAAGTAGGATCAGAGGACAAAGTAGAGAACCCCATATCCTGGATGGAGAAGGAGGATGGGGGTATTCTTCCCGGATCAGAGCATGCGCGTTTACGTAAAGCTCTTTTCTCTTCCTGCTTGATTTCCTGCGTGGTTGCAGTTTCGGTTGCAGATGGAGAAGTAGAGGTTATGCTCAGCAGCTTGATCAGGGTGAATGATGGTTTAGATGTAGATGAAGCCTTTCGCAGATGAGTAGCCGGCAGAAGAGGAGGAATAATGGGGAGAGTAGGGCCAGCGGATGGATCTTCTGTCGGAGTGAAGAGAGGATAACCGTATGCTTCTTGCTCATTGCTGTCAGGATAGTCTTCGTCGTAGTCGTCATCATAGTCTTCGTCGAATTCTTCGTCGAAGTACTCGTCAAAGTCGTCGTCAGAATATTCGTCAAAGTATTCGTCCAAGTCTTCGTCCTCGACATCCTGGTCGAAAGTATCCTCTGCATCACTGGAATCGTCCCAAGTCTGGCCATTAACCTCATTCTCGTCATCGCAGAGAATAGTCTCCGGCACAGAGACAGGAACAACATCTCTGGACTTCTTAATGATGGCATAGCCGGTTCCATTGAAGGCGCAGAGAGCGTCACCAGCCGATGAGGTGGTCTCATAGCCTGCTCTTTCATTAGTACTGGGTTATATATATATATTTTGGGTGTAAGTACAAGTAGCTTTTTCCTCATAGCCTTCGGGGAGCAGGTCCTTCAGACTATATATCCCATTGCTGTGAGTATCACATCTGTTCGTTAGAAGGAAGAAGTCCAGCATACAAGAGGTTGCATGAACTGATCTCCACCGTGTGCTGAGATGCACAGGTGATGATAGTCGGGCCCTCAAGGGAGCCGGAGGCGCAGTAGCTGCCGCCAGGCTTGGAGCAGACGAGCGAGTTAGTCTCAGGGTCACTATTGTTTCGTTTCATTTTTGTTAGATATCTTGTTCGTTGTAGGAGATAGAAGGAGAGGGAAGGCAGACTATGCTATCTGCGCAGCGGCAGTGAGCAGGAGCGTCAGTAAGGTGATTAGGGCAAGGAAGTTGGGAGCCATGGTGATGGTCCTGATCCTGGCGTTGGGATACTGGCGTTGTTTTGGACAGAGATGAGAAGGATAAGGGGGAAAGAAGGTGTAGAGAGATCTGGAGAACTACGCAGTTTGGATCTGTATGTTTCTATGTGAACGCGCCAGGCGTCTTGGACGCGTCTGTGGATAGCTTCGCGACTTGTGTTGCATATAATGCAGTGAATGGACATGCTAATGGCTCATGCTGCTTGTGCTTGAGCTCACGTGGTAGTACAATTAGTGTGATAATGTTCATAAGCAGGAACGGCAAGTTGGATGACCAAATCAAGTGTATTAGCATTTGCGACCTGTGCCAGACATGCACAGATGGAGTCTATAAGATGGTATAACCGCAAAAGCAGAGACAAATCGGACGTGGTCCAACAATCCAGCCGCAAGCAACTTTTGATCCCAAATCAGCCCTGTCAAAACGCCATACTCGCCGATAGAAATGCATCAATTCAAATCCCAATCATGACCGGCTCTGCTGCAACTTGCGGATCCTCCGCTTCAAGTCTCCTTCCGTCTGCTGCATCGGGTTCAATTTCCGGTCGCGAGCCATGGCCGAGTAGTTGTCTCCGTGCTTCTCAATCAATCTCGTCACCCACTCTTGCTCTCTGGTGCTCTGATGGCGCGGCTTCTTCGCCCGGACGGCCACTCCCTCCTGCGCAGCTTGGCGCTCGAGTTGCTCAACAATGCCATTTCCGGAGGCGTTCTGGCGGGGTTGTGTGACAATCTCATTACTCGACAGCTCGTTCAAGGGGTCGTTCAGCGGGTTGTTGCGCTTGACCTTGCGTCCGGCAATTTCGACCTCTTCGTCGGCCGCACCGCGAATCACACGCAGAATCTTGCCGGTCTCGGGATCACGCTCAACCTTAATTTCGCTCGTGGCGGTTTGCTTGGCGAGTGCCTCAGTGCTGCTCTTGATGTACAAGGAATCTTCGGGCTCTCCTTGGATACCGTCCGCGGTTGCGCGCTTCTGAGAACCACCGGAGGGAGCATTGAGGCGGTGGACGAGACCCAAGCGGCGGTAGTTTTGGGTGAGAGTTTGCTTGCGGTCCCTATCGAGAGCAGTATTAGTATACAGTCCAAAGGTAACTCTTCTTCCTGGTTTGTTCTGTCAGATCATAAACGTACCAGTTTTCCGCAATGATAGCATTTCCCAAGACATTGATCTTCTTCTTTCCGCTCTTAAGGAGACCGGCTCTCTTGGCCTTTGCCTTGGGCAAAGAAGATCTCTTCTTCTTGGCTTGTCTGATGTTAACCATGGTGCCAGATATGGGATTGGAATATCAAAAGTGGGGTGATGTATTCAAAGGACCGGAATTGAAGCTCAAAAAATTGCGGCGACAGAAAACGGATCTTATCGAGTTTGCATGTTTGCACTGATAGGGGCTTGGCGTGTTTGCTGCAGGGTCCCGATACGGCGATAACAAATCAAAGCCGGGATTTGGAGATCCGAGAACGGCGCATCGTATTTATCTCACCGGCAGCTATTCCCCTCTTGTTTTTCTCTTTCTATCAAGTCCTCTTCTACTATTGTCTGGGGTAGCCTACAATTGATCAATTGCTACTATGGCGCCCTCTCTTCTGGCTCCAGCTCGGCGCATGGGCCTTGCGCTCGCCGCGGGTCTCGTTCTCTTCTCCGCACTAGCTGTTGCGCATGATGCTATCTCTGTAGGGGATATGTCCGTGGGACAAATTGAGGAGGAGTTGCAGGTACGCCCGTGCCCCCTTGCATCCTTGATATTCTGTCTGGGATGGAGAGCCATCGATCTCCCCATGACCCCCTCAACATACCCATTGGGTACTAATGCCATGTAGAACTGCCCCCTCGTCGAGTCCCTCAATGAGCATAAGCGCGCCGCAGCCCCCCAAACAGCCAGCTTGACGTCCAAGATCTTCTCCATCCTCTTCCCCGGCAGCCCTGCAGTCAATGCTATCCTGGCGACGATCTACATCTCCGGCCCACCCAGTATGTGACTTCTCGCATTAAAACCTCCAACAATCATAACCATGTCCCCCCGCACTAGACTTCCTCCTGGCCCTATGCCCTCCAAACATCGACCCTTCCTCCCTGTCCGTCATGGTCGCCTTCGCCGTGGGCGGCCTCCTAGGCGATACCATCTTCCACCTGCTCCCTGAGATCTTCCTCGGCGAAGACTCGCCCGACCACGTCCGCTTCGTGATGGTCGAGCCGAACCGCAACCTCCTCCTAGGCCTTGGAATCATGGTGGGCTTTTTCACCTTCGTCGCAATGGACAAAACCCTACGTATCGCCACCGGAGGAGCAGGACACGACCACTCCCACGCCCACGCCCACGCCAACAACGACGACGACCACAAACCCACCAGCACAACAACCGGCGCCTCCCCGCAACCCTCCACCTCACTGAAACAGCGCAAGCCCGCAAGCAACAACAACACCACCTCTCCCCAACCCACCGACGACGACGAGAAGGAAATCAACCCGAGCGTCAAACTGGGCGGCTACCTCAACCTAATCGCCGACTTCACACACAACATCACCGACGGCCTCGCCATGTCCTCCTCCTTCTACGCCTCCCCGACCATCGGCGCAACCACTACCGTCGCCGTCTTCTTCCACGAAATCCCCCACGAGGTCGGCGACTTCGCCCTCCTCATCCAATCCGGCTTCTCCAAGCGCAAAGCCATGGGCGCCCAGTTCGTCACAGCCATCGGCGCCTTCCTCGGCACTTTCATCGGGATCGCCGTCCAAGAGCTCGGCGGGAATACCTCCTCAGCAGCAATCACCGATAGTAGCCTGCCCTCCTCTGGCCTCCTCGGAACAAGTCTCACCTGGGGCGATATGCTCCTCCCCTTCACAGCGGGGACCTTCCTCTACGTGGGAACAGTCTCCGTTATCCCGGAATTGCTGGAAACAGGCAAGGATAAACGCACGGAGATTAAGAAGACCATTGTGCAGTTCTTGGCTGTTATGGTTGGGGCTGGGATTATGCTTGTGTAAGTTTTTTTTTTCCTCCCCCTCCTATCCCTTCTTCCTCTCTCTCCATTGGTACCATGCATCGTGATTTGCATCGCTAACGGGTTGGAATAGCATTTCGTGGGATTAGATGATGAGTATTAATGTGGTAGCTTTCGATTGATTGACGATTATGAGAAGAATGCATGTTGAAAGATGAAAGATGAGAGATGAGATGGCATATGGATATAGAATTAGTAAATAATGATGGTGTGGACTGTCAAAGAAATAGACAATTTAATATGATCGAGGTGTTATAGATTACTTACTATACTACTGGTGGGTTAGTTCGTCTGTGATATAGTCCGGATCAGTCCTACGCTTCCTTCAGTTATTGACTGTCTACTCGTAGTTACGCATGTACATAATGGGCGAGCGTAGTGTATAGCAAACAGACATAGAACATAAGCAACTATATATAGTAGTAGTACCAGAACACCAGAACCACTAAGCGCCCAGCGCGCGGACGGAACATGAAACTAACTCCCCTGGTAGATGTAGATGGATGGATAAGTGAGGAGACGTGAATCGTCAACCAATATAGTCTAATCAAAGCAAAGTAAAGCAAAGCAAAATACATTCTTCATTCCGGTCTATTGGTGGTGTTCGCTTCATGTGAAGTCATCTCGTAATTGGAATCTATCATGCGAAATCACTCGTTATAGTGATACACCTGTGGGCATGGCGTTAGCGAGGTCAGTCAGAGAAAAGAAGGGAGGGGGGGACATACAAAGTAATCAGGCAAGCCGTAGACAGAATATCCCAGTCGCTTCGCCATCTTGGCGAAGCCCTCCGTCTCGACGAGGTGATAGAATGGGAAGGCGGGGAACATGGCGCCGTCGCGATGCACGTCCGCCTTAACAAGGAGTGCCGTTCCACCGACGCCGTCAAGTTCCATTTCGCGGCTAGGACGGGGCGCCCCGGTATTTGCCATGTAGGCCATCAGGGTGCGGTAGGTGGGCATCTCGGCGTATCCCTCGAGGAGGATCTCATCTGGCCCCATCATTCCCGCCAGCTCTTCGGCGGTCGAACTGTCGATCCACGAGTTGAAGTCGTAAGGGCGGACATCCATCTTCTTGGTATCCTTGTTATAGTAGCGCTGGAAGCAGTTCGGAACGATCACAGGTCGATTGTGGGCGGTCAGGTCTTGGATAAGGGTGGCTGGAGTCTCGACAATGTCGGAGTCGAGCCAGAGCACCCAGGAGGTGCTGGGACCGAGGGTGGTGAAGAGCAGGCTGTTGCGGGCGCGACTCATGGACTCACGACGTGCTTTCTGGTTGGACATTTTGTGGCGCTCTTTCTCGTCCTGCGATTGAATGGGCGGGTCGAAGTCCTGGCGAAGGATGCTGATGCTGGCGAAGCGGCTGTCAACCGGACCGGACTGAGTCTCGCTGATGGCCTGTTCCAGCGCGGTGACAGCGGCATCACCGTCCTTGGTTTTGGGGACGATGAATCCAATCGAGATAAACTCGTGTGGGTAGCTCAATTTCACGACATTATCCCAGAACTCTTGGTAGAAGCGGGCCAATGGGGTCAAAATCAGCACCCGTTCCCCTTTCTTGATGGATTCGCTGGTGCTACTGAGCTCGTTGAGATTGTAGTGCATCACGGGCGGGGGTGCTTTCTGGCCATCTTCGCGGACGGCTTGAGATTTGAGGAAAGGTTTCGTCGGAGGAGAAAGGGGATGTTCGGCGGCATCTTCTCGTCGTAGCTGCGAGGAGGAATCGGTGACAGGAGCGGCGGCGGCGGCGGAGGAGGAAGGGGACAGCAGGAAGCAAAGGAATCCGAAAGCTAGCAGGGCAGCCAGGAAGACCGTAATGGGGCTTGTGCGACGCATCGAGCGTGCGACGGCCATCGTAGCCGTTTGCTGATCGAGGGAGAAGTAGCAGGTTCGCAGTTCAAGGTGGTGGTGGTGGTGGTGGTTGTTGAGATGCGCGATTGGATAAGGCGGCGACGGCGGAATCGATCTGGCCCGGCGAGAAGTCGAGAGAGAGCTCTTTAGCCAGCAATCATAAGGGGAATGATCCGGGCCCCGGACATAGCGGAAGAGACTGTAGAAGGGAAGGAGTGTAAAATGAAGAAGTTTTGAGGTGGATGAGCGGAGGATGAGGCGGGAGAGAAGGGAGGGCAGATTGGAGATGACGGGATGGAACGAACCATGGCCAGATTGAAGCTGGCCGGAAAAAGAACACGCGGAGCCCGAACTCTCGTCTCTCTCTCTTCCACTCACTCCTCTTTCCTGCTTACTACAACATCCTGCGTCTCCTCTCACCGATCTGAATCAGCCAAACCTGATTCCTTCGCAGATAAGACTCCCAGAGTTGTCGACCCATGGATTGTACGAGGTAGTGGAAGGTGCCGCAGTGGCTGCATTGGGCGAGGCATCGCCGCATGCGGCCGTTGCACCAGTCTAGATTTGATGAATATCCCTGCTGTGAGACGCGCCACGATCGGGCCCGCTTTATGGGTTGGCTGGAGAAATCCATTCTATTTCTATCGTCTATCACATTACAACGTAGCTTTTTTTGGGATCTATTGGAGTCCCGTTCATCTTGATCGTTCGGGTATAGCCAGAGTTCTGTAGCTTCATCGTCGCCTCACGGCAGCCACCGCATCACACCCTCAAATGCAACCAAAGCCATAGCATTCGCCGGGAATGCTCGTAGGAAGCATGGCACAAACCCTCGCCAATACCCTCTCCACCCTCGTTCCCGATAAACTGCCACTGCAGCATCCTTCCACCACTGGAACTTGCGCTGCCCGTCGCCCAGTGCGCCTCCCATCGGGTCTGTCATGAGGCGTTGCTTCACCACATCGGACGGATACGACGTGATCCAGAAAATTTGCGCGGAAATCCCCCCGGCCCAGAAGTTGATGGCAGGGGCAGACAGGCTGGTCTTCTCCTTCATTAACCGGGTCAGGACGTCGTAGGAACCCCACCAGAAGAAAAAGAATGACCGAAATACCATGGTCGCGCAAAGTCCACGATATAATCCAGCAATGCCGTGGGTGCGAAGCTATAAATGTCGAGTCAACCAACCAACCCGGGCGCTTTGAGAATCTGTATTTCTTACCATCTTGCGAACGCAATCTATAGGTCCACTGTACAGACGTTTGGACTTATCCGCAGAGTACTGGATCTGAAGACGCGCCTTGACGTGCTCCACCGGTGCGGCAATGAAACTGACTGTCGTTCCGGCCATGATGCCTGCAATACCATGACCAAAGCTAGGGAGCGTGTGAAGATCCGTCTGCTTGCCAATGAACGGCATGCTTGCACGAAACTCCGGTTTCGAAAAGACATTTTCCAGTAACAGTCGGCGATACAAGGTTAAGGAACCCAGCATGCTGTGTTTGACCGATCAGTCCTTCTGTGTCTTTATGGACATTTTCCAGCCGTCGGGCAAAGCTACTCACACAGAGTCCATGACCATCCAACCGACCAGCGGCGGAGTGGCTCCCTTATACAACCCACTAACACCCTCCTTGCGGACTGTTTGTAGCACGCAGTCCAGTGGACCCCGGAAATGCCCATCATGGCTCGTTTGTAAGCGCACCTTGATTGTGTCGAACCTGCGAAATCCATCCATGGTCAATTTGTGACATTATATGGGCGTTGTCCATAGAGAGGTAGTAGAAGTGGTAGGGAAGAGGTAGTAGGAGCGTGATCACGTACGGATGGCCAACTATGGATAAGAATCTGTTAGCGATGGTCACTTAAAGACAAGACGAACGCTCGCGAGCTATGCTCAGCGCTGGCAAGGACATACCACTTAGTTTGGCAATTCCGGAGAAGACTCCTGCTACAAAGCCTTTATAGTCATGCTTCGAGCTTTGAGGCTTTGGCGGACTGTGCTTTGGTGTATCGGCCTCGGTCATATTTCCGGAAGAACGTTGCTCTGGTGTCCCGGACGTTGTGGCAGTCGCCAGCGGTGCGGACGTCGACGACATTATCGACAGTGCAGTGCTCGTGTGCCGTGAAAGCCGGTATGTTTCTCCCCCTCCTATTAAGACTGAGTGGGAGTGTCAATTGGAATTCGGCTGCGTTGGACCGAGGATCAAAAATTCGTGAAGGTCTGTCGGGGTCCGCTATCGGACAAAGCAATGGGCGGGATTAACGAGCGCACGAGAGGTCCATTGATGGTTGAGAGCCACCACTTCTAACAATGATAGGGAATGAGGGGAATAGTTCTCAAGGCATGTAGATGATGGGCAGTTGTAGGAGAGAAAAAGATGCCCCAGCGGAGTCAAAGGCAAAAGACGGGGGAAGAGGAACAAGCAGAGCAAGAAGATGATGCGCCCCGCAAAACCCGGCGGTTCGGGGAGCAGCAGCCCAGCTCCGACCGGATAGGCGGCCGATCGGGGGGCAAATGGGTTGGGGGAGCCACTCACGGCGCTCCAGTTCTTTGCGACTAGTACAAAAGATGGAGTACTAGACTAGTAGTACAAAGTAATGGTCACTAGATATGCAGTAATCATCTACATTTGCAATTCATGAGCAGTCGGCAGGTCAGTGCGTTTGCTTTTTCTGAAGGTTGATCGAACCCAGTAAGTTCATTGCCTATTTCGCAACTAGCAATGAAACACCTCTCTCTTCTTCTATACTGCTTGTCGCTTTCTTTAATCGACTTCTTGGTATATAACAATCTGAGCGAAACGTCGCATTCCAGTCCCACCTCAAGGATGACAGGCTGTTTCTGTTCAATCCATGATGATACAATGCCCGAAATAACACAGTGTCGTAAGAAATAAAAAGGCGCAATACACAGTTCTGGAAACAAGGGAGTGTAGTAGCAGAACAGGACGGGAAATACAAATATCCGGGAAAGCCCACGGATCAGCTGCGGGGTATAGTTGCATAATTTCATAATACATAGATGTGGTTTTATAGAAACGTGAAAGGAAAAAAATAAAGCGGCACGAATGGCCTTGAAAGGGAGTAGAATCATATCATGCATTAAGCACATAATCGATGCTGTCCTGCAGGCCACCGATGGCACTCAATGTGACCCGGAGTCCGAAGTCCGAGGCCTGAGTCATGTCCTAGTACATAACTGTGCTGACAACCAGATGTAAGGGATGGTTGCCGCTTGGATGGATGGATGGATGGCTGGACGACAGCTCTAGAAACCTTTCAGGGGCTTCATAGCTTTCTGTCGGTTGCGTTCGGTCTCCCGAGCAATTAGCCTGTCCACCATATCTGGGGCCGGCCCAGCGTGTTCTCGAGAGGAGAAGTCGGAGGAGCTAGAGGGGCCCGAGGTCAGATAACCACTGGCCTCTTCCAGCGCCAGCGGGGTTACCGGGCCAGGGCTGCGAAGAGGGTCTAGTCGCGGAGCGGATGGGCCCGGCGATAAGGTTCCAGGAGTCTTGGGTAGGGCAGCCCCATCCACAAAGTCTCGATACTGCCACATTCCATCACGGGAGCCAGAAGCCGTGCGATACCCGTGCTGTCGAGGCTGGCGTGGTGAAGAAGGCTGGGCTTGAGTGCTGCCGGATGACTGATAGACTGCCGGATGGAATCGTGGCAAGCTTCCCAAATGGAAGGCAGGCATGGACTTGGAGGTGCTCTGTCCCTGCGAGCGAGAGGGCTGCGGGGAGGAGGGACGTCCAGCTGGAGACATGGCGGGGGAGATGGCGGACGGGTAGAAAGTTGAGCTGTCAGAACGCATTCTGGACGAGGGTGAACGATGAGGGTGGTGATGACCAGATCGACTGGCCTTGCGATGGAAGTCCCTTTCTCGCTGCCCCTCGGGGGTGTGGTCACGATGGGCAAAATAATAGCCTTTATCAAAACGCCCTGTTAGAGGGGTGACGGGAAAGTCTTTATCGCGGAGGGAGGGAGACGGCTTGGGGATGGGAATAGGCCGGGAGGTTGACTGAGTGAGAGTGAGGGTCTCGAGGGAGTCTGATGTGTCTGAGCTCGACGAGTCGGGGGAAGGAGGATTATATGTAGATGAGGTTGCGGTTAACTCCTGGAGCGATGACAACGAAACGCGGGTGGGGTGACCGTGTCTGGCAATGAGACTTTCTAACTGGTCTCGGGCACAGAAGCTGGACGGCCGATAGGAGGGCGACCAGGAGGAGGAAGAGAGATTGGCTAGTGGCAGCACGCGATCAGCATGAATCATTGGGAATGTGCAGAGGTAGATGCCACACGTGTCAGGTGGGGATCAGCTTTTTGGGATCAGTGCCAACAACTGAAACGCAACAGCAAAGCAAGACTTTGACCAGGCAAAGAAGACTAAAAAGTAAGAAGAATGCAGAGGGGCCAATCAGGATGTTGACGTTGGGAGGAAAAGAAGGGTGAGATCTGCCTGAGAGGAGTGGGGAAGGCAACGAGGCATGGTTGGACGGAAGGTTTGATGGAGGGGGAAATAAAGATGAACTGGTTGATCGCAGAAGGAGAAGGAGAGGAGGGGAGACTTGAGACTTACTGCTGAGCAATGGCGGAGAGTGACAGGAACTGTGTGAGGAAGGATACAGGGAAGGCGAGGAGAATGAGGCGGACGGAGAAGAAGAGGGTGGAGAGGTAGCCATTGACGGAGGGGGGTTCCCTTTCCCTTATGAATGATTATTTTTTCTTTTCTCTCTTTCTCTGTCTTTCCTTTTGCTTTGTCTGTTGGCCCTTGTTTTTTTAATTACCCTCTTTTTTTTTCTTCCCCAGTTGTCAGCACCGTAAGTGGATAAGCCGGATGGAACGATGCCAATCCAGGCACCCCCCGGATGACTTCTCCCTGACAGTGACAGGTACACTGTGTCTCTCTCTCCCCAGAATACGTACCCTCCGCGGATGCCGCCGTCGCCGTGATACTATGACTCAGGGGAAAAATCATGCAACTCCCCTCTTTCGGTCTTGCCTCACTCTTGATACTGCCGTTTATGTTCTCTCTTTTTTTTTGTCCCTTGTTTCCTCTGTTTTGATCCCAAACTCTACTTTGTCCTGAGCCAAATTTCTTTTTCTCCTCTTCTCTGCCCACTACCTCCAGACTAAGAAATTCTAATGGATCGTCAGCTTGCGGGGAAACTCAAAACCGTCACAAACAGCAGCCGAACCCATGGCGTCATGGCGGGAGACGCGGGATCCAAAGCCTGGAGAGAGAGGGGCAAAGCGGAGCTCCCACGGTACGGTACGGTATGGTTACCGCCCATCCGGGTTCCACTCCACTCCGCTGCAACAAGAGAAAAGAAAAAGAAAGAGGAAAAAAGATGGCCGTGTAAATGTAAGAGGGTGACGATCTGAGGTGATAGTACGCTGGGAAGGCAAAAAGAAGGAAAAAGAGGAGATTCCATCCACTCACATGGAAGCAGCCTCCTTCTCACCACACACCCTCCAAACTGCAGTATTGTTTCTATAGGCCGCACAGACAATCAAGGCCAGTGTCGACTATCGTATTCCACGACGGGAAGGAGGGGTGATTGGTTCCTGAGGAACCGACGGGCACTAGTCGTGATCGGGGCTAGTAAGTTACTCGCTAGTAACTTACCGCCAGTGGGAGGGAAAGCGGTCACGCTGAGCAAGAAAAACGAGGAATGAAACCTAGCCAAACAAGGCAAGAATGCAGACGGTGACAATAATATAGCAAGATAATAATTATAAGGCAGGTCACGTTGCAAGGTTAAAGGAAGGAGTCCAAGGCAGGTAAAATGCCAGCGAGTGGATGGTTGAATCGGCACGTTCTTGGCCGGTCTGTTTGGAATCCAGTAGGAGACACCAAAGGAATTTTGCCCTAGTCCTTGTCATGCAAATAGATGAACAGGGAGAAATAGATAGTTGCTAGTCAAGCTATGAGTAACCCTGTTCGAGGAGCGAACGATGTCACTCACCTATCAGCCGCCCCAGAAAAGAAAGGCGAGAAAAAAAATAAAGGATGAAGTAGACGTAACTAGCACTCCGTAAACTCGGAGAAATAATAAGCAGATGGATTCGGACAAAGGATGAAGTTTGTACAACATAAAAAAAGACCACCGCCAGATATCATCTGCTCTCCTCTGGCATGGACTCCGTGGATGTTTATATTCACCTCCAGGCTCCTCAGCAGCACTTCCCTCCGCCTGATACCCCTGTTCAGCCGATGAAACCTGTTGTAACCACACGCGGGAAACTCGGGTGACCCGGCCGGCTACCATCGCAGAGGCACAATGGAGTCAGAGCACACTTCTACTATAACAATACGCTTGAGAATAATGGACAAAGCCAGGATCGCCTGGGCTTGGAGGGAATCCGAGCGAGACACTCCCCCTCCCCCAAGTGAGTCCACTGTTGCCCGGGTTTTTTTTTGGTCGAAGCTGATGGGAATCAATCCTGAACGGAGACTGGCTATCGGTCTGGAGGGGATGGCCACACTATCGAGACGCTATCAGGGACTAACTGCTGCTAGCAGAAGAAAGAATACTATTGCTGCGAGTCATCCATCCAGTAGCGCGTTGTAACCCCAGACCCAAACGACTCTCTACGCACAGTCGATCTGCAGCTGCCGGTGTCACAGAGCGCCCTGGCCATCCCCCTTCGAACTGCGGAGAGCAGCAACTAGGGCTGGGAACTTTTTTCATCCTTCCAGTCCACCCCTTCGATCGGTCCAGGCCACAACAACCGAGAAAATTCAAGATGGTCTAGATAAGACGGTCTACAATGGTCTACCCACCATGCCGTTTAGCATCAACACTTGTCGACTTAGTTCCATTCAAGATGGCTGAAAAACCATCACAAAGAATGTGAGAGGGCGGGAGCGTCATTCACGCCGTGCTGAGCGATCAGACGACTTCCTCTAGTCTCCCCTCCATCACACTCGCTCGTCCAAATGCCCCGCCCCAAAAATTTACCAGCGACGCGTCTGGATTCATGATCAGATCTGCCTGGCTACTTGAGGTCTACTTTGCATTGACCTTTTCGCTTGGTGATTTCGGCCGTTTCAGGATCCAATGATGTTGGGTGGAACTCGATTCCCAGAGTGGCAAATGCGGTGTTCCTGGGGCAGGAAAATACCCGTGACGATACAATCTTTGTGGGTTCCATTTGCGCTACAGAATATCATTTACTAGCCAATCTGTCTTTACAGTCTGCTCAATAATCCCTGTTGCCGTATGCTTTCGTGTCTGGTCCGTGAAGGCTCATTGTCCCGCCCTGCCGGATAGTTAAACCCTCGATCCATGGCGCAGGCACCAGCATAGATCTTACACCAGGATGTCCTGACGAAAATTTATTTGCTCGCGGGTCTGGAGGGTAGGCTTCGTCAGACGCAACGTTGCCCCCTCCCCCCCCCCCCCGGCAGATCTACTCGAGCTGATTTGTCCGTTGCCTTCCAGCCAGCTACATATTTAGTTACAGACTGGTGGTGGTGACTGGGATGCAGATCAATCCCCCCCCCCCCCCCCCCCGGCAGATCTACTCGAGCTGATTTGTCCGTTGCCTTCCAGCCAGCTACATATTTAGTTACAGACTGGTGGTGGTGACTGGGATGCAGATCAATCACGCGTCACAATGGCTGCTTCAATCAATCAATAACCCCACCATCCACTGTGACTGGAATAACCCCTGCAGGGCTGACTACCTAGGCCGCCCTGGTGCTTCACCTCCTCTGTCACTTGTTGCTCGTCACACCTTCCCCTCCTCTCTTCTATTGCCTTTCTTGGATTTGGCATCGAGTTTGGATGGGGGCTATGCTAGACAACGTGCGCGTCCAAGACAAACAGACCCCGTGCTACGGTCGCCCCTCGCATCTGTCGATATTAAAGTCATGTCCTGACTTGCTTATTGGCCAGCATTGACGTCAATGGTCTGAAAAAGGAAGCTGGTCTTTATGCAACTGAAACACCTGGCAATGTCCTAACGTCCTGGGCAAGCGATGCCAGGTGCGGCTTGGGGACGAACAGCCGTTGGTACCAAATCCATCCCTGTCTCTGAGCGTGGTCTGGATCCATGGCTGGGAACGTCCCTCCGACACTAGTATACACTCCGACATAGCGGCATCCAACAGTGAGTGCAGAAGCTTTCATGAGAGCTGCCAGGGCCGAGTCTGTGCGTATGCAGCCTGGTAATGCATCTGTCCCGAGCAGGATCTGGAAGTGCAGTACATTGTGTGAGCGATTTACCATGACCTTATGAATTGGCATCTTATGAATCCACTTGAGTGGACTGTCGCAAAGCCTCGTTGACTCATTCGCATACGGTCCGGCCATGTATAGCCCCCAGACAAGGCCCGGGCATGATGTGGATGTCTTGGTCTGGATGCTTACAGTCAGAACCTAAATATGAGCACGCCAACTAAAACAGCCACACCTACGGGACACCTGACACCAGCTCGGCTGTAGACACACCACTCTAATTCCCGAACCAACATCTTCCGGATGTCCTGATTTCGAGCGAGGGTAGCGTCGGATACCATACGCCCCCTATCTTTAGCCAATCACTCCTCCAATTTCGAACCTGATAGCTCTGCTTCGAACTACTGCGCTTGGAATCGGATACTATGGCGCTCAGACAATAATAGCTTGACCGGACCACAGCCAATCAAACAATACGCAGCGGTGATGACCAGACATTATATGTCCGTGCTAGAGTACATACATGTAGAAAGACGACGATCACTCAACATTTAGATGATCTTTCAATCGAGGTGTGTGAATCATCTAGAGCTGATAGTATCCCCTCGGTCAATACTGGGGACAATGCTCTAAACTGTGACAAGCCATCCCGGCAAAAACAACAATATATCGAAGCCGCCAAGAAATATATCCACAGTACTTCTAAAAATTAAACCTACAGCAACAGAACTCGGAGAACGTCCGCGCCATATCCGGACTGACGCATGAGCTACCGTGTCTAGAGCATACTGTGTTTGTAATCGACGCACAGAATGCTCGTAGCCCGTATACCCCCGACCCTCTTCAAGAATTATGCTTTACAGGGGACCTTTTGCTCAATGTATTGAAACAAAACATTATTGGACGCAGGTCGCGTCTTACCCGGGTGGTAACTGGCCGGGAGTTACCAACCTACCACCCACTAGTAAGTACTAAGTAGTATGTATGTACTAGTTAGTAGTGTAGACCTCTTCTATGTCCACCGGTAAGCCAATGATTCGTGTCGTGTCTTTGGGTAACAGGCTGAATAACATATCCCGCATTGGCGATTGGTAATGATTATGTGGCACCTCAGTTGGTTGATGAAGATGGCTTTCCCTACAACGCAGAAAGAGATTCCAGCCATGTCCTTGAGACTATTTGGTGGTGGTTGTATGTATGTGGGGTTCGACTTGTGCGGAAGTTGGTGGTGATTACAGCTGGGGTGTTGGGGTGAGGTTAGGGTTGTGAAGGGGTGGAGGGTATATCCGGGCGAGCTTTACAATGTTCGTTATAGTGTTAGTAAGATGGAGGGGTTAGTGGGTGTAAAGTATTTACATTGAAGTGAAAATATACAGTCGGCTGGGTAACATATAAATCAGAATCAACCCAACACTCCTGACATTCCATGATCAATCGGGATACACGTCCCGTTGATAATCTCCGCACCAGGACCACAAGAGATAGACAGACACAGCTCAGCAACGCGGTTGATATCGCACATCGGAGCCGCAGCAGCAGTCATTAGAGCGACAGCCTTGTCCTTTCCTTCCAGGTTGATGTTGGACATGAACGCGTCCGTGATGTTCGTCTCCATGCCGCCCATCATCAGCGCATTGCATCGGATTCCCTTGTTGCCGTAGTAGGAAGCCGTGTTCTTGGTCAAGCCAACGAGGCCGTGTTTACTAGCGGTATATGCGGCACCTATACTTGTCAGTCAATTCATATAGATAATAGGATCCATTCGGTAGGAAACATACCCGCCATCCAACCCGCCTTTCCAGCAATGGAAACGATGTTGACGATACTTCCATTGACAATTTCCTGAGCAAGCATATTGCGAACAGCCAGTTTGCTCAACAGAAAAGGCGCAGTCAAATTCACAGCCATGACCCTGTCCCACAGCTTCTCGTCCAGGTCACCGACAGCATGGAACTGATCCATGATTCCGGCATTGTTGATGAGGATATCGAGTTTCTGGAATTGCGCGACGATTTCATCAAACAGGGCTTGCACCTCTGTCGCAGAGGTGATGTCTGTCTTGATGACCTTGAGTCTTGCGTCGCCGCTGGGTCCGGCAAGATCCATCGACGTCTGACGAAGTCGCTCCTCGTTGACATCGCAGATGACCACGTTGGCTCCGGCGGCGAAGAACCGGGTAGCGATAGCTTTGCCTAGGCCTCCGGCACCACCGGTAACGAGGCAGGTTTTTCCAGTGAGGTTGATGGACATGGTGATTGTTAGGATCTCAGTTTGATGCTCTTGTGGGTAATGGTCAGGGGACGTCTATTCCCTTTATAGTTCGGATCCGGGCCTTGACAGCATATCCGCATGGTCTAACCGCTGGAACGCAGGCAGCCGTTTCGCTTCAAGGGGCCATTCTGTGGGTGCGTATAGACAAGGGCGTAAGGGTTCGGATACTGTGCTGTAGTACGGGCCATCCGACCGGACCGTTTGTCGTATTTGCGTATTCGGCGGGTTGTGTGGGTCAGGGGACCATGGGAATTGCCGCGGCCTTATATAGACATGTCGCCGACGTATAATGCGTATTTCGTATAGGGTACGATTAAGTAGCTGTAGGGGTGTATTGGAGGTTTGTGGCTACAAGTGACGCGTCGTTGACCCGTCGGAGGCGAGGATTGTCCAAGTTTCTCATGCCGTCCTGGAATATATCATAGGGGGCTCCGGTCCTCAGAGAGTGAGAAGCTCATCATGAAGTTCAATCTCTCGAGCCTGCCTTGATATTCTACCTGGACATTTCATCAATTTTCCACTGCAACTACAGGACATGGTTAACCGATTACCAACCTTCAATGGCATGGTTTTGATCAATCTGGACCCAAACTCATGGGCTGGTGAGTTGACATGTCTGGGGCATGGGAAGCGAAGGGCAGGACATACAATAGGAAAGACAGAGGGAGAGAACCGAACAGAAAGAAAATGGAAGAGAGGATGAGGCTGAAGGGTCACATGTCCATATCTCGTCGTCCTTCCCTTTTCCATCACCAACATCTCCACCTGCAACTAACTTCAACTTCAACTACCTCCTCTAATCGACACAATGACATTCCGAAATTCCTTACGGCACAAATCCTTATTACTCACACTCCATTATCCCAGTCGCATTTGATAAGCTTATCAACTTGGGATAGCTTATGACAAATTGACATGACTGGAGACAGCTGCTCGGTCTGTCTCGTCTGTGGTCTCCCCAGCTTTTTCTAGGCGAAAAGTGCTCCACCGGCCATCGCGCAGACCTTCTCGATCTGGCAATGCTCGCTGTCGGCTTATCTTATCGCTACCCCGGCTATCGCTTCCCCGGTTCCTCGATGCCTGCAGAATGCATCTATGACCCTATCGCTCATGGTCCGAGGCGCCCATCCCCCTCCTGTAGCATGGCAATAAATACCCCAACTGGTGGCGGCGACCACGATGAACTCAATTGTAGAATTGTCTTTGTATTCCCAACATTGCCCCAACAATGGCGATATCAGAAGATGAGATCCAGCCTGTGGGCCCTTCTACAACAGGAGAGGATGTTCGGCTGGAGCATTTGGGCTATGAGCAGGGTATGTCAGCCAAATTAGGCCAGTGGAATTGTGTTAACGTCCGTAGAGCTCAAACGGTCATTTGGCCTCCTGGGTATGATTGGCTTCAGTTTCAGCGTTGTCACCTCGTAAGTCATTCGCTCGGAGATATAGAGCCCATCGTGCTGACTCTGTCTCAAGATGGACCGCATTAAGTGGTGTCTTTATTGTTGGCGTCACGTCGGGTGGCCCCCCAGTTATGGTCTTCAGTTTCATCGGTGTCAGCCTTCTCACCTTAGCTGTCGCCATTCCCATGGCTGAAATGTGTTCGATGTATCCAGTTGCTGGAGGTCAATACTCGTGGGTGGCTGCTTTGGCTCCCCCCAAAATCTCCCGCCAGTTATCATACATCACCGGATGGTTCATGCTGATAGGTATGGACCCACCAACCATACTCTCCCTGTAAATGCACAGCCAAACTCACCAGGAAACTGCTAGGACTGCTCGCCATGGGCGCAACCAACAACTCCATTGCCGCACAATTCGTACTCGGAATGGCGAATCTCGTCTTCCCATCCTACGAAATCCAGCGTTGGCAAACGGTCTTAGTAGCCTACCTCGTGGCGATCCTCGCTGCTGCCATCAACATCTGGGGTCCTCATCTACTCAACCGAATCGCCCGTTTCATCCTGATCTGGAACATCACCGCTTTTTTCATCACTGTCATCGTCCTCCTCGCCACAAACGACCACAAGCAGTCCGCATCATTTGTCTTTGTCGAATTCCAGAACTTCACCGGCTGGGACCGAGCCATGGCCGCCATCGTAGGCATCCTACAAGCCTGCTTCGGTATGTGCTGCTACGACGCCCCCTCCCACATGACTGAGGAGATGAAATCCGCCTCCAAACAAGCACCGCAAGCCATCATAATGTCCGTCGTCCTTGGCGCCATCACCGGCTTTGCGTTCCTTCTAGTCCTCTGCTTCTGCATCGGAGATATCACCACCACTCAGAACTCCCCTACCGGAGTCCCCGTCATCCAGATCTTCTACGACTCCACCGGTAGCAAAGTAGCGGCCTGCTTCCTAGCCAGCATGATAGCCGTGATCGTCATCGTCGCAGGGAACAACATTCTCGCCGAGGGCTCCCGCTGTGTCTACGCCTTCGCCCGCGACAACGGTCTCCCGTTCAGCCGGTTCCTCGCCAAAGTCGACAAAAAGCGCCAGGTTCCTATCAATGCAGTCCTGCTCACCTTGGTCGTTCAGCTCGCCCTGGATGCAATTGACTTTGGCACCTCGACGGGGTTTGAGACCGTCATTGCTATTTCCACTGAGGGATTCTGTACGTCTCCCCCATACCCCCACTTCACAAAAAGGAACTAACAGAAAAACAAAAGATCTCTCCTACGCCATGGCCCTCGGAAGTCGCCTCCTAGGCTACGTAACCAACCACCGACGAACCCTCACAGGCCCATTCGCCCTCCCCACCTCAATGTCGATCAGTCTGAACGTGCTGGGCCTGTTGTTCCTGCTTTTCGCGTCCATCACGTTCAACTTCCCAGAATCATACCCGGTGACGAAGGACTCGATGAACTATACCAGCGCTGCGATCGGAGTGATTGGAGTGATTAGTGTAGCGACGTGGGTAGTGACGGGACGAAAGCATTTCACTGGCCCGGGGGCGTGGGATGGGAGTGGTAGTAGGGTTACGGAGGGGAAAGTGGTTGAGTTGAACGAGGAGACAGAAGTTGAGATGGAGAAGAGGGGATGAATCTTTCCGAGTCTGACATGGTTTCTCTTGTATGTTGAAATTATGTGCAGAATATATGTGCGCAGTATACCCATTTATGTACATACATACCTTATTCTTTGAACACTAGTTACATACTCACAGTATGCCTTTTAAACAATAGGGACTAACTTGGAAAAAGAAAATAGTTACTCATCACCCCCAACCGGCCGCGCAACCATCAACGCCAACAATGAGTTAGCCACCTCCGCCGCTGCAAGCGTGGTCGTCTCCCCGGCTGTATCATAAATCGGGGCTACCTCGACCACGTCGGCCCCAATAACAGGCATTCCTCGCAGCGCGTCAAGAATAGTCAGGAGTTCACGGGTCGTAAATCCACCTGGTTCCGCAGTGCCGGTGGCTGTGCATTCTCATCAGTTTTTCTCCAACGTCCTTTATATTTTCTCGTAGTGAAAGGGAAGCTAAAGTGGACATACCAGGTGCATAAGCCGGGTCCAGCACATCAATATCAACCGAGATATAGACTCGGCTGTCCCCTACGCGGGATTTGATTTGTTCGACGAGGCCGGAGACACCGAGTCGGTCGAGGTCACGGGCGGTGATGATTTCGAAGCCGCAGCGGAGGTCGTTTCGGATGTCGCCTTTGGGTCGGACGACGGGGGCGCGGATTCCGACGTGGATGGAAGTGTTGCGGATTAGGCCCTACTTGATTCTTAGTTTGTTGTTGGGGTGGGGGGAGGGAGAAATAGTGAGGCATGGTGTGGTTACGTACCTCTTCGTGGGCAAGGTGGAGGAATGTGCCGTGGTTGACGCCGCTGTGGTTGAGGATGCGTTAGTATGATGGGATTTATTGGGGATTGTTGGCATACGCATAGTGGGAGACTCCTCCACCTGTAGAGGACATTTCAAGTTAGTTAAATATATATGTGAAGTTGGGGGAGACTTGGCATACCGAGTACTTTGGGGTCCCATGTATCTAAAAATATTTTGTTAGCGGTTTATACATGTATATCATGAGGGGTGGAATGTGCATACCAATATGACTGTCAAAATGAATCACAGAAACAGGACCCCAATTCTCGTACGTCGACCGCAGAGCCGACAAGGTCGTCGTATGATCTCCACCTAGGGTAATAATACGGGGGATTTGGCTGAGATGCGTGGAATTGGCACGACGAGACGAGACGACCTATTCCTCCCATTATTAATTGACCACCATTTTCAGAACAATATACTGTATACCTTGTGTGCCATATCAAGCTGCTTCAACGCTACAGTATTATCCAACCAGGTTAATGGTGCATCACCGCAGTCAACAAGCTTCGCCCAGCTAGCAAAGGCGTTTTCTCCTGTGTAGATGCTCCATCCGCCGAGACGACGAGAACCGAGACGAATACCTTTGGGTCCGAATCGAGCTCCAGGGCGAGCTGTGACGCCCTACGTGTGTGTCTATTAGTTGCGATCGATGGCAAGGTGAATGAGGAGGGAATGGCTAACAGTGTCGAAGGGAGCGCCGAGGAAGGCAATGTCATAGTTGTTGTTGGTGGTTGATTCATCGTCCACGAAGCAATTGAGGTAGGGCAGGTTGGCGAAAGTAGTCAAACCAGAGAATTGGCTACCGGTGACGATGTCAATGGGGTCTTCGTGACTGAGAAGATATTGGTGGGAGGAGGGATTGTTATGGACTGCCGCAACGGGAGGGAAGACGATATCCCTAGCGTAGGCTGGGAGAATAAGAAGCGAAGCAGCTACAATAATGTGAGAATACATGATGTCTATCTAACAGTCAGGCAAAGACCAGTTGAGCAAGTATGGACCCATAGTGGAGAGAGACAGGACGATCCGAGGAAGTTATTATAGTTTTGCTGCTAGTTGAAGCTAGCCAAGGGCAGTTTCTTATCGGAACTGGACCCAAAAAAGCAGTTGCATGCGATGAGGGAAAGCTCCACAGCTGCAGCCAAGCGAAGGGGTCCAGCCCGACAGGGGTTGACTTTATCATTGATTGATTGATGATTGCTTGAGTGATAGATTTGATTATTCATGGAAATACTGTTGTTACTTATGGAACCGGGATGGATGGATGGTTGGATGATGAATGGCGATGAGGGGACGGCGGATGACGATCGCAGAATCTCGTGCGGAGAGAAGAAGGAAACCCCACTTTGATTTTTCGCATCGCTGCTTTGCTTTCCTTTCGCGTCATCCATCCACTCCCCCCCATTCTCAATCTGCTTCATCGCTTAATTCTACTTAGTACCATATTACAATGGTATAGTTTGATACCCTCGCTTGCCATCTGCGGGCAATTGATCTCCCGAATTCTTTACTAGCATACACTAACAACTCCCACCAGCCTCACGCAGACTCCTCTTACTTCGGCGCCGGCAATGGCTCCAAATCCGAAGTCTACACTCAGGTCCTAGAGCAAGCTCGTGGTTTGGTATACGACCAGCGCAACTGGGTACGATTTTCTCCTCCTATCCTTACCCCCTATACCCCCCCGCCTTCATTGCCAATTCACCAGCTAACCACTCCCCCCACCACGAACAGGTCAGGTAAGAACACAATTTAAGCCCCAACTATCGCGCCCACTTTCACCCAAGCCTAACCCTCTCCAAATCAAAATAGTAACTTCTCTAACGTCGCCTCTCTCCTCTGGCACGCCTACGCCGCTCTCCCCGCCCCCTCCTCCTCTGTCAACTGGGCCGGATTCTACATCCGCCAGGATAAGTTCCCCGTCCTCGGCGCCGCACCACCCTCCGAAGAGGACAGCAACAAGAAGCCCGTCCTTCTCCTCGGCCCTTTCCAGGGTCGTCCGGCATGCCAGGAAATCCGCTTCGGGCGGGGTGTGTGCGGAACGGCGGCGGAGAAGCGCGAGACGGTCGTCGTGCCGGATGTCGAGAACTTCCCGGGGCATATTGCTTGCGATGCGAGCAGCCGGAGTGAGATTGTGGTGCCGATTTTGAGTAAGGGGGAGGTGAGTACATATCTTCTTTATCTTTTGGGTGGAGGTGGATGGATGGCTGATGTGTGTGAGCAGACTGTTGCGATTATCGACATTGATTGTGCGGAGCCCAATGGGTTCGATGATGAGGATAAGAAGTATTTGGAGGAGTTGGCGGCGTTGTTGGCGGAGTGCTGTGATTGGTAATTACTACACAGTAGTATGGTGTGATGTGTGTATAGATCAGTCGTTGTGGGTATGATGATTTGGGTATGGTTTTATGATATATAGATTGGTGGAGTAATGATGAGATGGTAGTCATGATGGCTTAAAGCATATATTCCCAGTGCGAGATTGCATTATCCTGGGTTGTTCGGTTCTTCAATTTCTATCGCAACGTGCATAAATGTAACCGTCTAACGCCTGTGCATCGCTGGGGTCTCACGGACCCGAATGTGTCTTCCCAATATAGTAAAACCAAATATAGCGTCTAAGTCAAGGCCCGCTATGGCAACCAAACATATATCCAAAAAGTCTATCAGGCGTCGCTGTATCCCAAATAAAAGAAAACGAAAGTGTATGTGTGCCGCTGTTCCATGGAACGAGAAAAGGATGCGCGTGCGCCAACCAGGGTCGCCGGTGGAATGAACAATATAAAAGGGTGTATCCGAAAAGACGGGAACAATAGAAGAAAACTGAAGCATAACCCCAGAAGAATGGGGTGGTGAGAATGGGGAGGACAGCATCTGAGACAATGATCGGCTTAGGTGCTGAACATGCTCATTTGCCGCTTCAGAGGACTGTTCGATCCGGCATCGCCATCCTCACTCACCCCCAAGCCACTGTCCGTGCCAGTTAACCCGGCATCGGTATCGATGTCCCACTCCGTGTCTTCGTCATCCTCAGTGGCTTCGAGGCCGGCATCCGAAGCGCTGTGCCAGCTCTTTTGCACGGCACCGCGTGTATTCCATCGCAGTGCTCGCTGAACGCTCTGGAACCACTCTCCGCCGCCCGCTACGACGGTCGGGAAGGGGTATTGACTTGCTTCGACGGTAACATAGTCGCCTTGGCGGAGTTCCACACGACCCTTCCCATCGAACGAGCAGTACGCGGTCGACCGGGACCCGGCAGGAACGGCAATACGAAGGAGCAGCGTATCGGAGAGAACCATGGGACGGAAGGAAAGTGTATGGGGGCAGATGGGGGTCAGAAGAATGCCGGGAATAGAAGGGTGAATCAAGGAACCGCCAGCGGAAAGAGAGTATGCCGTGGAACCTGGAACCACATGTCAGTCGGCGATCAAATCAGTCTGTTTTGCGCGTCACACGTACCGGTAGGAGTAGAGAAAATGCACCCGTCCGCTTGTACCACGGTGAGCAGATCATTATCTGCGTACAGTTCGAGGTTTGACACGTATGGTGATGGCCCGCGATCAATCACGAGCTCGTTCAACACCTCGAACTGTTCCCCTTCCTCCACAGCACCCGCCTCGGCGCCCTTGCTGCGGTCTTTACGGAAGACCGTGCAGGTGAAGCGCATCCGCAAGTTCACTCGCATACCTACATCACCCATGACTGCATTCAAGTGAGACTTGTAATTCTCAAATTCGAAGTTCGTCAGGAACCCTAAGCTCCCCAGGGAAAAGCAGAGGACCGGTGGGACAATGCGTTGGAAGAGCCAGGATGTGAAAAGCACGGTCCCGTCCCCTCCTAACGTGAGGACCAAATCGAATTTCTCGGGGGCTGTCCAGCAGAGATCCGGGGTCCAGTAGTGTAACATCTCCTCGAATCGGGGCTCCTTGTCCAGAAGCCCCTGGGCATTGAATCTTCGTGAGTTGCGAAGTTTAGCGTCTACGTAGACATTCACACCCAGATCGTTGCCGTAGCGAGGGGTGGAGAGAAGCCACTCCGCCAATTCGCGGGTCAGATGCACCAGACTGTTATCCCGCGCCTTGGTGACGATCATAACATTCTTGACAGCGCGTTTGATTGGTCTTCGCTGCAATTGTTTCGACACCTCTCGGACGCCTGTCGCTGTCTGTACCAGACGGGAGTGCGATAGCCACTCATCATCCGCAATCTCTTCCAATACTTTCTGAATATTTACGGCGTCATCGAAACGCTGGTGGAAGAAGCATGGTGATTGCATGACCAACCGTGCTGTCGCAGGAGAACGGTCCAGGTAGGTCCCTAACTGAATATTGGAGAGAGCTGCTGAGAGCATCTGTGACGACGAATTGCTGGAGGTGCGCTCCGTTTCTTCCGACGAGGTAGGGTTCGTGTTGAGAAGCCCCAAAGAGGCCGCCAGCGGCATATTTGGACTTTGGTGGTTGCACATGGATGGTCGTGATGCGAGAGCTTTGAGAAGGGTTTGGCGAGGGATTGAATCGTTAGATAACGCGTTCCGATGATGGCCCGCTAGAGAGGCCGTCTGCCGGCGTGGCAGGAAGGACGTCGTGAAAGCGGGAACAGCGGCGCCCTCACGAGGATGATCAGGTTTCTGGAGAGTGCCAGTGCTGGGACCCAAATTGGGAGTCCCGGGAGCCGAGTCGGCCGTGTGGATATCGTTTGTAGTGTGAGAGGGATCTATGTGCGAGGCATAGTCGCGGAGGAGCGACGCTCCCACAGTGGCCGAGCGATGAGGAGGAGGAGGGCGCACCGGAGGAACTGATAGTGGTGGGGCCGCGGAGGAGGGCGGTGGTGGTGATGAGGGCAATGATGTTGAGGAGGACGGCAGAGGGCCAGTTGCGGACGAGGAAGAAGGGTGGTTCATCGAGCCATGGTCAAGCGGGGAGGACGCCATGGACAGATATAGAAATATGACAGATTGTGTGATGCAGGAGCTGGTTGGTTCAGTCAGACGGGAACACAGAAGAGAGAATTTCGAAATAAAAAAAGGGCTTCGATAGGTAATGATGGAATATGCTGGAGACGGAATGGAAAAACGCCGGGGGGGAAAATAATAATAATAATGGGAAGTAACGAACTCGGATGGAACGGGGTTTGGGCGGGCGCCTTATCCAGTGTAATCCACTTCAAGGTTCATGGCGGCTTTGACCATTGGTCAGGCTAAACACTTTCCTCTGGTCGCATCCACTGGCATCGGTAGTCTAGTCTGCTGGTCGAACTTCGATAGGCTTCCACATCCTTAATAATGAGAGTCAGAGCGGGTGACTGTCATCATTGAAGCCGGGGGATTCCAGTGCGGGTGGCAGTTAACTCCGCAACAGACACTCCGCGGGCCTGAGAAACCATTGAATGTACCGTAAAGTCCCTACTACCCAATCAGTAAACTCACCCAAATTTCCAAAGGCCATGGAACACGCACCGAATACAAAGAGACAGTAGTAAATAGCTGTCGGAAATGACGTGGGTGATTTCCGAGGCTGACGGAAAAAGTAATGTGGGATTCCTTGGTGAAGCGTAGAAGTAAGTCAAGCAAGAAGGTAGGGGGGAATGGAGATGGAGAGATCCTACTGGAGTTAGTCTAGTGTGGGTAAACTATGCAACTACTGCTCTCGCCCGTATTGTCATGATTATTTACATGATTATTTACCGGGTGAATTCATCCCATCCCTTCCCTTTCTTGTTCCACCCACCCCCATTGCCTGAAGACGCCGATTACACATATCACACACATTGAAGAACCTTCCCTTTCCCAGGTGCAAGGGAGCATCATACTGTGTAATGCACTTGCGGCATCTGATTGATCCATCAGATTCTTTCAGCTACTACTCTATTCCATTCAGCTGTGCAGGTCGACGCATGCGTCGGTCGCTCCTCCTTTTCACTGGATGTCTCTCGTCTTCATAGATTACGAGCCATTTATTACACGTTGCAGAACGCAGGGATGGGGTGGCCTACAGTAGTACTACTCAATTCCACTAGTAATCGTCTTCATCATCCCACGGAACAGATCCCTGAATTTTGACCAACTCCACACACATCCTTAGCTTTAGCTCTCTAAGACTAGAATGGTCACTTTCTATTAATATAAGGTGTATTGCAGCACTCCCCATGTGGCTGGAGCTGGAGGGTTCGCTTTGCCTTATCGCTGAGAATGTAACTCTTCCGAGACATCTAACTAATGGAGGTGGTTGGCTCCTTTCACGCACGTCCCTCGCCGTGATCCTGTTAGATGGCTTGTCGGTTCCTGCGACGAATTCCTCCCCTGCCATACCCTGCGTCCTTCTCTTAGCCTGCCCATCAGCCAGTAGGATATCGTCAATGACAATCCTTCTACACTCGCCCAGAAAGTCTCGTTCGTGCACATGGGCCCGCGTGCTGTGTGAAAAGCTTCCTTCGTGTGCAAGGGGCATGTGTACAAGCCACCTAAGAATACTGGCGATAGAAGGGACGACAATTCATGGGAGCGACCGCTCGCTGGCTGTAAGCGCCCGTCGCGACTGAATTTACTTAGCTGCCGTGGTATCCGCGGGGTAATCAAGCAGCATCGATCTTCCAGGCGTAGTCGCGGTGGACCTGATCCTCAATGGACTCGCGCATGATCCCCTCTAGGGGCTGGCCATCTACATCCTCCACCATGGCAATGTCTCCATCAGTGCCAGCAGCCGGTGTGCCGTGACAGATCGCTGACGCGCGCTGGTGGACCTTCTCCCACGTTTCAAAGTCAAAAGCCCCTGAGCTCTCATTCAGCAGCAGATGGCCCTTGGACGAGAAGGCCAGGGCGTGGAGGGATTTGGCGGTGGCTGCCTGTTGGATCGACGGCTCCCGGATGATTTCACCTGATGCATCGACGGCCAGAACAGTCGCAGAGAAGGTCATGGATAGAGGAACAGCGGCCGATAGCAAGGCAAGAAGGGCGGTATGAAGTAGCGCGGGCAGAAGAGTCAGATACTGTTATAGATTTAAGATAATGAGTTAGCCGCTAAGCGTCGCCAGCTGGACAGAAATTGTCCAAACTTCGCCAATTCATTGAATACGTACCGGTTCTCCTCTTCCTACACTCCCACCTCCGACGATGGCTAGCGTGACCACGACACCACGCCGAGGGTAGCCCCTCTCGCGTCCCAAGATCAATCTTCCGAGGACTCCCTTGATAATTCCCTCGACGTACCGTTCGCTCACACCAGCAGGTGCAGTGCCCGGCTTAACAAATACTTCCACGGTCGCTTCTTCGGGCTTCAAGGCATCTCGACGTCCGGGAAGTTCGACGGGGGCATTGACAGAGCCCAGGATATTGGATCCAGTGGAGGGACACAGATAGGAAGCCGAGCCATCAGCGCGAGCAAGAGGGGTCAGAGTTGCGGTTGGGCCGACCATGATGACGCGCAATGTATAGGAACAGTTGAAAAGGACTCGAATAGAAAAAGAATGAATGGGGATAGCTGGTTAGTAGTATTTCGCAACTTGATGAGTAGACTTGAGGTGATGCTCTGGACCCCAAAGAGCTTCCAAGGTCGCCTTGGAAATTTTTGGCCGCGGAGCCTGCCGAGTGCGGGCCAGCTTGTGATTGGTGGACTCTCTCCCTGCTCACTCACTTCATTCTATACAACCGAAGAACCTGAACAGTTGTACACCTCCCTTCTATGAATGTGCATTTAAGGCTTCCATGGCCTCACTGGAAATCCTCCTTTAGTCGCTTATGATTCTCGCTCTCTGCGCTTCGTATCATCTATACATTTCAGATTGAATGATCCGGTCTTCCCATCGAATCCTCGATCTTGCATAGTAACGATAACCCATCGACATCCGGCGAGTGACTTACCACCTTTACCAACGAGGTTGACTAGGAAGTTTAAGATACGCAAAATGGACAATTTCAAAGTACTGATCTAGCCTGCCATTTTCTAGACTTTACTTTTATTGAAGTTCATCAACTAAATTGCTGTTTGATCTTTGTTTAACCCACTCCGTCAGCCGGAAGGATTGCTTCGGATGCCGACTCAAAAGCCGGAGTGTGTGCGACCGAGGGCTTTTCGCCGAAGAGTTCAAGAGTGGCTCACTTTTGACACACTTGGAGTATGCTATCGTGGTTTCGGTGATTAACCATCGCCGAGGAATACGATATGACGCAAGGGGCGGGATCAACGAATAACTTCCGTGCTGTATCGCTGTTACACACCGATGGCTGGCATGCTCTTTGGCAGTCTACTATTCCGACAAGGATAGCCCGAATCGCAGGCACGAGAGTCCAAAGTAACTTCTCTGGTATTGCCCCCGCAGTGGACCTGAATCATCACTTCTCCGGGGGCACTGACTGTGTTCATGATTATAGTATGTATGTACTACATCCCACACGGTTTGGATGCCGAGATCATATAACCCGACCTCCCAGAGATAGATACTCCGGGTCCGACGATACCAGGGGTGGCATTGAGCATCAGCATGCCTTGTTTTAAAAGCCCGCGGTGCCCACTGGGACTTGCTATGCTGGCATCTGCACCTGTAGTGGGGGCGGTCTTCCTACCAACGCTGCATGCTATTCCTCCTTGGAGTTCATCTTCTCACATCTCCTCCTCCAAGAATTGCCTCTAAGAAATCCTGCAATAATGCCCCGGATACTCTGCCTCCACGGCAAAGGCACCAGTGGTGCAATCTTCAAGTCTCAAACGTGTTGGTTCTACGACCACTCCTCAGTCTAGTCACCTCTCAGCTAACTTGGCTTGTTCTCAGCTGCGCTGCGCGCTCGATTATCTGACCTACAAATCGACTTTGAATTTGTCGATGGGTTTTACTCGTCCGATCCGGCTCCAGGGATCGACCTCTTCTACCCACCCCCTTACTACTCCTTCTGGGAGCAAGACAATATCGAAGCCGTCTTCCACAGTCGCGACTGGCTCGTGAACTACCTAAAAACCAATGGCCCGTACGATGCCCTCATGATGTTTTCGCAGGGATGCGCTGTCGGATCATCCACCGCCCTTCTTCATTTGCTTGAAGAGCCAAATCAGCCCTTGCCCTTCAAAGCTGCCATCTTTATCTGTGCGGGAGTGCCACTGCGCGTGCTGGAAAAGGTGGGGTATAAGATTGCCCCCGAGGTCTGGGACAAGGACATTGTGACTCGGAAGGCACTGGCAGCGCAGGCGGACTCTTCGGCGATCTTGTCGCAGGGCTCGATGCGTTGGCAGGGGGAGAAGGGGATTAGTGCGTCTGAAGCGGATATCCGGAAGGAAATTGCGCCTTCAAATGTCCAGATCGACATCCCGACGGTGCATATATACGGTGATAAGGACCCGCGATGGTCAGCTGGCATTCAGTTATCCCAAGCGTGTAATGCAACCAAGAGGAGAATGTATAATCATGGCGGAGGACACGAAGTCCCTCGTACGAACGAGGTGACTACCGGTATGGCCGAGCTGGTGAGATGGGCACTGCGTGAGGCCGCGGTGATTGATGAGTAAACAACCTGCGCCAACTGTCGACGATTCCCTCTCGATGATTACTTTTTTATATAAACTGCTATAGATTTTCTCCTAATTGATCTGAATACACTATCTCGCGTCCGGCAACATGTGGGCCAATGTATGGGGAGTATAGATGTCTAAACAGCAACAGGCGCATGCGAAATAATCTTGACTAATGAACTACTCGGTCTTGCGGATTGAATCATCTCATGTATACTGCATCCTATTTTTTTTTTCTTTCTTTGGAAATTCCCATTTCTCTACTACTAACACCTAACTTACCGAGCCATTCAAGTTTCCAGAGTTCTGATCGGTCTCGTGATCATACACCCAAGTTGTCTTCGCTTGAGGATCGAAGCGGACTTGGTCTTTCTTCCACATCAGTGCAACACCGAACAGTTGGACCACGCCGCAAGCCCCCACTGCGTACATCTGACGATTATAGCCATGTGCATACGCGGTCCGGATCGCTTCCTGGACACTCATCGGCAATCCCGTGAGGTGATTCGGGTCTGCAGCAGCCTCAGCGGGCGCGAGATGCCCCTTGACGTAATTGGTCAAAATGCTATTCACAATAGCGATGCCTAATGAGGCACCCAACATGCGTGCCTGGAGGGTCAAGCC